CCCCAGGGGCAGCTAACACCTCACAGGGGGCGGGCGAACACAGTGGGGAGGCTGGGAACTGAGACGGGGGTGGAGACAAGCGAAACCTCAGGTCTGAAACTCCCCGGCACCTTCACCGTGGCGAGCCACGTCCAGGAGCTTCTGGGGGGGAAGAGGCAGGATCCTGGGTTCCAGGCCAGGCTCCGAGGGGCGAGGCAGTGCTCCCTGGCCTCACCCCTGCCTCTGGCAAGGCTCCTGTTGGGGGGGGGGAAGGGGGCAAAGGGGGGGCTTCAGTAGAGGATTCCCGGCACGGGCCGTGGGCCCACCCAGTGAGCTCAGCATTTCTCCGTGACGTCCCCCAAAGTCACCTCCCCAGAGAGGAAGGTGACTGACTTCCACTGCCCCCACTTCCTGCAGCTGGGACCCACTCAGCTCGGAGTGTGAAAGCGTCACGGGCAGCACCAGCACCTGCTTGCTCACTCTCACCACCAGGAAAGCACCCCAGGATGTGTTCCAGCAGGAACTGCCCAACCCCGGCCGGCAGCGGGATGTGCAGGGCTTTGTCCCTGCCCGGCCGCAGAGCCACCGGCCGGCCTGTGACTTTCTGCACCAGCAGGAGCCCCAGGATGCCAGAGCAAAGAGCAGGCATGGAATCCAAAACGGGGGGACAGGCCCTGGTCCCCAAGAGTCCCTCGTGGAGGCTCCCCAAGGTGTGTGTGACAATAGCCCCTGCCTGAGGCTTCCTGGTCCTCCCTCGGGACCCATGCCTGGGGGCAGCAGCCAGCACCCCTGCCCCAGTGCCGGCCCTGCCACTCGGCCCCGTTCTACCAGTCCGTGGTCTCTTGCACCACTCGGCTCGACCAGTGCGGCTTCCCTGCCCAGGACTCCTCCCCCACTGCTGCGTCTGGCCGTGTCCCCTTGAGAGCAGTGGCTGGACAGAGCCTGGAGTTCAAGTTCAGGGGCTGGCTCGGCACCCAGTGTGTTAGGAAAGGCAGGGCGCAGAGGCCCGACAGCCGGGGGCTGGAGTGAGGATCCCAGGGGGAGGCTGGGTTCAAGGCCAGGGAGATGGGGTCAGTGGCTGGAGTGGATCAGGCAGCCGTCTACACGGTGGAGGAGCTGGCTGGCGCAGGCCTGCTTGGCTCGGAGCTACTGTGGGGGAGGCTGGGAGTGCAGGCTATTTTTAGGTCCCTGTTGAATTTTTTAAAAAGGCTTATTTATTTATTTGAAAGGTAGAGTTACACAGAGAGAGGAGAGACACACAGAGAGATCTTCCATCTGCTGGTTTACTCCCCAAGTGGCTGCAACAGCCAGGGCTGGGCCAGGCTGACACCAGGAGCTTCTTCCGGGTCTCCCAGGTCCTCTGCTGCTTTCCCAGGCACGTTAGCAGGGAGCTGGATCAGAAGTGGAGCAGCCAGGACTCAAACAAGTGCCCATATAGGATGCTGGCACTACAGGCCACAGCTTTAACCCAGTGAGCCACAGCATCGGCCCCTCCTGTTGGATTTGAAAGACAAGGACGCTGGGGGCTAGGAGCCCTTGCGGGTTGGAGAAAGACGAAGGCGGCCCCTGTCCCCTGCTCCAGGGCAGCCTCTTTGGCCCCTAGGGACCAGGGGCCTGGAGTGGACTGGAGGCACCCTTGGCACCCATATATGCAAACACCTGTGCCACTTGGGTGCTGGTCCCATCCTGCCCAGGAGGAAGTGAGAGTCCCCTTCTGGGACCCTCAGGGACCGGCGTGCTCAAGCGAGTCCACCCCGCGCTGCCCCCACTGGATCTCAGGGGAGTCCCGAGAGAGTGACAGAGATTGCGAAGGGGCTGTTAGCACGAGGCGACCACGGCACAGGCCAGGCAGCGCACACTTGGGCTCCAGTTCCCGGGAACACAGCTGACGGGGACACATTCATCCAGCCCACGAGCCACGTAGTAAGCACCCACGACGCTCCAGGCACGACTCCAGGGGCCAGAGAATCGGCTGTGAACCAAAAAGCCAAAATCCAGGGCCAGCTCTGGGAAGCTGCTGCGTGCGACGCCGACATCCCGTATGGGCACTGGTTTGAGTCCCGGCTGCTCCACTTCTCATCCAGCTCCCTGCTAATGCGCCTGGGAAAGCAGAGAGGACGGCCCAAGTGCTTGAGCCCCTGCACCCAGGTGGGAGGCCCGGATGGAGTCCCTGGCCCCTGTTCCGTCTGGCCAGTGTTGGCCACTGTGACCATTTGGGGAGTGACCTGGCAGGTGGAAGATCTCTCCCTCTTTCTCTGCCTTTCAAATAACTCTTAAAAAAAAAAAAAAAAAAGTCCAACTCCCCAGGCCTCCCAGAGTGTGGAGTTGTCTGAGGGAAATGCAACACGTGTCACGCATGAACCTAAATGCTCCAGAAGCCACACGGAGTAAAAGCTAAAGTAGGTGAAATCCATTTTTAGAATGCATTTTATTTATCCCAATATATCCCAAGCGTTATTTCAATGTGCAGTCAATATAACAACATGAGATAAAGCGCTTTTCCCCACACTACGCCTTTGAAATCCAGAGTCTTTTATCCCGCCTGCACGCCTCCACTCACAGGAGCAGCCCAGCGGAGCCCTGGGGAAAGTCAGTGCTAAAGGACGCCCCACATCTGAGCGGGGAGATAGAAATGCCACCATCGATTAGTGATGTCTGCTGTGGGCACAGGCTGGGTCAGGTTGCAGGCCCCCCCCAACCCCGAGCACATGTTCACCTTCTGCCCGACCTGGAAAAACTGAGTTCCACAAGGAGACCTTGGTGTGGGCTTAAGCTCTGTGCCCCGCAGGGAGCTGGCTCACGGCCACGGGTGGCCCTGAGAACACAGGTTTTGTTTTGTTCCTGTCCCAAGGTCTCTTCCTCCCAGTTCCAACAGAACAGTGCTTCCTGAGCCTGATTTAGCCATTGCAGCCCCACCCCGCCAGCCCACACAGGCCTCCCGTCCGGCAGGCACCCTGGCTGGGATCACCCACCCTAGCTGAGCCCGCTGCCCTTGGTTCTCCGGATCATTCTGAGCGTGAGCTCGGGCCGAGGTAGAAGCTGGGGTGCCTAGGATGCGGCAGGGGTGCGCGGCCCCCATCGTCCTCACCTGCCCCACCCTTGCTGAGAGGCCCCCTCCCAAGACATGGCTCTGCGGAGTGGTCCATCCATGGAGAATGCATGAGCACCTACTATGTGGACCCCTGCCTCTGTGCCGCCCGCAGGGTTCCAGCCAGGCCCAGGCCCCCTCCCCACCAGGGCACCCTCCTCCGTTCTGTTCCCTCGTCTCTCTGAGCAGCCCCCCGGGGCTCCCACCGCCCACTTAGAGCCATCACACCACGTCTCCCTGCAGCCCGGCGTCTCCCTCCCCCACCAGGCTGCCAGGGTCTCAAGGCAGGGGTGCAGGGGCCGTGCCTTCCTTCCCGGAACCCCAGGACCTGCCCCCACGCACACCTTCCAGGTGAACATCCTCTGGCTCCTGGCACCCAGGAGAGGGGACGACAGGTGCAAAGGGGCTCCAGCAAGTGGAGCGGAGGCCTGACGGGAACCGGGGATGCTGGACCAGGACTCCCACATTTGCAGTGGCTGTCCCCCAGGGGAGAGGGGACAGTTCTCAGTGTCCTTGAGATCTGTGAAGCAGGAGGGAGGCACAGAGGGCCTCAGGTCCCTGCTGGCTTCCCCAGGGAGGAGGCAGGGGCAGAGGGCAGAAGGGCAGGCCTGGCTCTCGGGAGGCCAGCATCGGCCATGCGTGTGTCAAGCTGGCTACCCCGGCGGCAGACTCCCGTGGCGCCACAGGGGCCCGGCCGAGGGGTCCTGCTCACCTCCACCAGGCCGAGGCCGCTATGCCGCTCGCCCGTCTCAGCAAACCGGCAGGAGCCTCTCCTGGCCACCCCTCCCTGGAACCTCATTTACATGGGATTTACATGGGCTCATTTCATGCCTGGATGCACACGGCTTGCCTCCCAGCCGGCCTCTGCGGGCCTCGGCCGAGACAAAGGCGTGTGTTGTGGCACTCAAGCGCCCGCCCACAGCCCCACGGAGGACCAGGGAGTGCACAGATCTCCCTGGAGGTCACCTCACGCTGGCCCTGCCGCCTGCCCCCCCCCTCTTGCTTGCTGCCAGCTGGGGGCTGGCTGGAGGGGGCGTGGCCTCAAAGCCCCAGGGCTGCCGCTGCTTTTGGCCTTGCACTGGCATACAGAGATAGGGCCAAGTCCAGTCGTGCAAGCAGTGGCCCCTCCAAAGTCCCGACTCAGACGAGGGTCAGTCCAGGAGCACACAAGGGGGCAGCAGCCCAGGCCTCGGCCTCAGCCCAGGCTCTCCTGGGTCCCCCTGGCCCCGGGCACCTGCAGCCACCTTGGTCGCCTGGGAGAGCTGGGGTGGAGAGCACACAGGGCCTTGGGAAAGCCTCGGCCAGGACAGGCTGAAGTGGGGGACGGAGTGTGTGTGTGTGTGTGTGTGCGTGTGCGTGTTGGGGGGGCAGGCATGGACAACTGCAGCCCCCACGGGCCCCACCACAAGCTGGAGTCCAGTGCAGGTGGGAACTGTCCCAACTGCCCCACACACGTCTCCAGCAGTTCCTGCTCAGAAGTGCTCCCAGCCACCCTGGGCAGTGAGAGCTTGCAGGGACCATGGGGGCTCCCCCTGCACCCCGCCTCCATCCCAGAGCACTGCCCTGGTCCCCACCTCCATCCCCACACACAGCTCTCTCCCAGACCCCCACCCGGGGGTGGCCGGTGGGGAGTGAGCACCCAGCCTCAGCGCCTGCACACGACGCGCCCCTCTGTCACCCCACGGGGCCCAGTCTGAATACTGCTCCCTCCCAAAACAGCCCTGAAGGAAGGGGAGGCCTGGCGCTCTTTGGAGCAGACCAGGGAGGCAGAAAAGGCCACAGAAGTCCTGGGGCTCCAGGTCAGGCTGGGTGGGGGGTGTGGGCTCAGACCCCCCCCCGCCCCCGCTCCCACCTCTCACCTCCCAGTGAGAACATCTGCAAAACAGGAGCCCCCACCCCCCACCCCCGCTGGGCAGCAAGCAGCAGGCACCGGTAAATAAATAGCTCGTTTATTAGTAATATGTTACATTATTATTAAAGTGCATTGAGAAGAGATGCAGGGGCCCCGGGCCCAGCCCCAAGCAGCCAGACCCAGCCGGAGAAGGGGCCCAGCTCTCGGGACAAAATCCACGGCCGGGGTTGGGGGCAGGGCCGTCCCCACGGAATTTTTCACAGTTTAGCTTAAGTTATGACGAGTCCTGAGCTGAAGGTGGGAGGCTAGGAGCATGGAAGCACAGCCCCCAGGGAAGGGGGCCGAGGGGCAGGGAGGAGGCGCCCCCTGCCTCCCCGACCCCCAACGCCAAGGGGCTGAGTCCTGGAACCTCCCCCTGAGGACTTGGCTCCGTTCCGCAACACCAACGGTGCACCCAGGGCTTCCTTCTCGCCTGTCTCCCGCACCCGACCCTGCCCACAACCACCCCCTCCCCTGGAGGGGGGGGGCCTGGACAATGTCCCCTGGGACCGAGCTCCCAGGCCAGGGCCAGCTCCTGCCACCCTTCCCGAACTTACCCCGGTCTCCGGACCCTCATCCCACCCCACCCCCGCCCCCCTGGGAGCCTCGGACAGGGACCACCCTCTCCCCCAGTCCCCTCCCCGCCACCCCCCACCCCGCCCCCAGCAAGGGCTTTTGGTATTTTCATACGGATGCAGTCGGAAGTAGCTATACATGAAATAAGTCTAACATAAAAATAGAGCTTTTTCCGTCCTTCTGCCCGGAAAGCAAACATCCTCCATAAACATGCAAGGCGGCCGTCCGGCGGGACCCAGGGCCGCGCGAGGGGGCCTGGTCTGCAGGATGCCGGCCGCCCAGGGGAAGCAGGCAGTGGAGAAAGGGGGGCCACAAGGCCCCGGACGGACCTCAGCCCCGAGGCCCAGCTGCCCTCTCCTGACCCCTGCGGGTGGGCATCGCTGCCCTAAGTCCAAGCAGGAGCTTTTGGAAAGTCTAAGTCCTGGGACATCCCCGGTGCTGCGGCCTCTCGGTCTGTCACTGCCCCTCCCGGGGCCCCGCAGCCGCCCGCGGCTGGGCTGGACGTCCCCCGGGGGCTCCTCTGACCCGGGGAGGCAGCAGCAGAGGAGGGGCTCCCGGGCCAGCCGGCTCTGAGGAGGAGACTTTTGGAGAAGCCCTGGGGCGTCGGAAGCCTGGGGCGTGGGCAGCCCCCGGGGAGGGGGGTGGGTTGGGGGTCCCTAGTGGACCAGCAGGCCGAGCGCCAGCGTGGGCAGGACCCCCAGCCAGAGGGAGGCGGCCAGGGCGCAGGCGCTGCCCATCAGGTGCTCGGCCAGGGCGCGGTCCTCGGGCAGCAGCTCCCAGTGCTGGGCTTCGCGCAGGTAGGAGCCCTCCTGGGCCTCGCAGCGGTAGTGGCCGTACTGGCGGGCCGTGAGGTTCTCGATAAACAGGATGCAGCTGGGGCTCTGGTGGCCCGGCTCGCAGCTCTGCTCCACGCTCTCCTCGTGGCGCCACGAGTAGGTGGCGTGGCGGGACTCCATGGGGCAACTCAGGTAGTAGCGGGAGTTCCGGGCCAGGGACACCTTCTGCAGCGGGGCCTCATCTGGGGGGGTGGGGAGGGGCCGGGGCTCAGCGGGGAGGGTCTCCCAGTGAACCCGGGGTGTGTGGGGGGCAGCCCCCTGCTCTTCTGTTCTCCCCGGTCTCCCTGCTCCCACCCCTCCGGGGGCCTCAGCACGAGGCCACGTCCCCTCCCACCAGGGCACCTGGGGCTCATCGCCGTACCTGGCTTGGGGTTGGGACACTCCTTGTGCGGCTCAGCGGGGTTGATGGACTGCAGCACTGCCCTAGGGCGGGAAGGGGGAGACCGGCTCAGCACAGGGGGTTCAGCCCTGCGGCCCACCAACCCCTCCCCCGCTCCCCGTCCCCTTCTCCCAGGGACGACCTACCGCTGGGAGCTGTAGATGGAGACGCAGCGGCCCTGGTCCCAGCCGCAGTAGGGGTCTCGGGACATGAGGCAGCCGTGGCAGCCCCCGCCGTAGGCCTCACACAGGTCCAGCGGCACCTGGCTCACCTCCCACTGGGACGTCACGTACAGCTTCCGCTGCAAGAGGTGGGCAGGGGCCAGGTCAGGCCAGGGCCGCTGAGTCCTAAGCCCCCAGGTGCTGGGGGGTCTGCCAGAGGCTGGACACACAGATCGCACGTGCAGGAGCCCCAGGACGGGGCTGGGCAGGGCAGGCTCACCCGGTCAGGGTCCAGCGACAGGGTCTGGATGGCGGCCGCTCGGCGGAAGGGCTGGATCTCCATGATGTTGAAGACGAGGCTGTGGGCCCCCTCCCCCGACTCCACCACCTTGTGGATGGTGCCCTTGTCTGTGGACGGGGCAGAGAGTCAGCTCAGGCTCAGACGACCCCAGGTGAGGGGTGAGAGGGGAGTGGCCTGGTGGGGCGGGGCGATGGGAAGCCCAAGGACAGCCAGGTCACGGTGGCCATCTCCAGGTTGCCCAGGGCTCCCCAGAGAGGGTCCCCCATGAAAGCCGAGCCTGGAGATCCGAGCCAGGGCTCCCCCACTCCCAGGCACCGCGTGCAGCCTGTGGGAGTATCACCCCATCACCTGGGGAGGTGGGTGCTCCCTCCCGTCTGCAGAGCGCGGCGGCGGCTCGGGAGGGCACAGCGCACCTGCTCCTGGCCACAGGGGAGCAGGGGGCAGAGACCAAGGTGCGTCCAGGTCCAGCGGAGCCCGGCCCCTGTGCTCCTCCGCAGCTGCCCCGCCCCCACCCCAGCCCCGCATTTCTCTAAATAGGTCTTTAACTCGGGAATAATTTCAGATTTCTAGAAAACTTGCAGAGACAGCACAGAGAGTTTCTGTCTGCCCCTCCCCCGCTTCCCCGGGGGGTGACCGTCTTACATAAACGGGTGCGCTAGTCGCTGTGGAGCCATCATTGGCCCCGGCCCTCCCCCCCCCCCCCCCCCCCCCAGCCCCGGCTGTCACTGCTCATCAAGCCGCGACCTCAAGGCCCTTCATTCGTTCCCTCAAATGCCCTCCACTTGTTCCCAGCCTCAGCACACTTCTATTCTGACACGATCTCAGATCTGAGAAGGACCCCAAGGTCACACAGGCTGGCGGGCTGCCTGGCCCCCTCTCCCCGTCCACACCTGTCAGGGACTCACGGGTTCCCAACCCGCTCACGGCTGCCCCAACTTCTGGAATACCTCCCGCTCCTCCCAACTCCCCTGGCCAGCACCTGCCTCCCAAAAACAGGAGAGCCCCCGGCCAGCCCTGCCTTCACGCACACCCCGGCCGCCCTGGGGGCTCCTTTCAAAAAAACCCCCCCCCCCCC